GTGGGCCTTAGGAAGCATCACTATGAACAAAGTTTGTGGAGGTGATGGAATTCCAGTTGAGTTATTTCAAATCCTAAAAGATGATGCTGTGAAAGCGCTGCACTCTATATGTCAGCAAATTTGGAAAACTCAGCAGTGGCCACAGGACTGGAAAAGGTCGGTTTTCATTCCAATTTCACAGAAAGGCAATGCCAAAGAATGTTCAAACTATCGCACAATTGCACTCATCTCACACGCTAGTAAAGTAATGCTCAAAATTCTCCAAGCCAGACTTAAACAATACATGAACCATGAACTTCCATATGTTCAAGCTGGTTTTAGAAAAGACAGCAAGACCACAGATCAAGTTGTCAACATCCATTGGATCATCGAAAAAGCAAGGGGGTTCCTGAAAAACATCTGTTTCTGCTTTATTGACTATGCCAAAGCCTTTGATTGAATGGATCACAGTAAACTGTGAAAAATTCTTAAAGAGATGGGAATACCAGACCATCTGACCTGCACATTCTTGAGAAATGTTCCGTATGCAGATCAGGAAGCAACAGTTAGAACTGGACATGGAACAACGGACTGGTTCCAAATAGGAAAATGAGTATGTCAAGGCTGTATATTGTCACCCTCCCTATTTAACTCATATTCAGAGTAAATCATGAGAAATGCTGAGCTGGAGGAAGCACAAGCTGGAATCAAGATTACTGGAAGAAATAACAATAACCTCAGATATGCAGATGACACCACCCTTATGGCAGAAAGAGAAGAAGAGAACTAAAGTGCCTCTTGATGAAAGTGAAAGAGGAGAGTGAAAAAGTTGATGTAAAGCCCAATATCCAGAAAACTAAGGTCATGGCATCCAGTCCCATCACTTCTTTCCAAATAGTTGGGGAAACAGTGGAAACAGTAGCAGATTTTATTTTGGGGGCTCCAAAATCACTGCAGATGGTGACTGCAGCCAAGAAATTAAAAGATGCTTACTCGTTGGAAGGAAAGTTATGACAAACCTAGACAGCATATTAAAAAGAAGAGACAAATTACTTTACAATATCATAGTGGTTTTGCCTAGCCTCCTATTAAAATAAGTAAATTTATATTAAAAATAAATAAATAAATAAAATAAATAAAAAGCAGAGACATTACTTTGCCAACAAATGTCCATCTAGTCAAGGCTATGGTTTTTTCAGTAGTCTTATATGGATGTGAGAGTTGGACTATAAAGAGAGCTGAGCACCGAAGAATTGATGCTTTTGAACTGTAGTGTTGACAAGGAGATCCAACCAGTCAATCCTAAAGGTGATCAGTCCTGAGTATTCATTGGAAGGTCTGATGTTGAAACTGAATCTCCAATACTCTGGCCATCTGATTGAAGAGCTGACTTATTTGAAAAGACCCTGATGCTGGGAAAGATTGAAGGCAAGAGAAGAACGGGATGACACAGGATGAAAGGGTTGGATGCCATCACTGACTCAATGGACATGAATTTGGATAAACTCCAGGAGTTGGTGATGCACAGGGAGGCCTGGCGTGCTGCAGTTCATGGGGTCACAAAGAGTAGGACACAACTGAGTGACTGAACAACTATAAAAAATATATTGGTGCTGCAAGGGAGAATAAGAAATACAACCAAGAACATGAAAGGAAAATTGATAAGCAAGGATATTCTAAGGAGGAAAGAGTCAACTCCGTAGAATGCTTTGAAAAGCTAAATAATTGAATCATATAAATGAACTCATATGCTGAAGATTTGAAAAGAGATTTGCGGATGAACTGTAAGGATGAGAATGTCTTCAGAGTGTCAGAAATTATGATGGATCCCTTAAAGATGAAACGTACATGGGAGTAAGTTGAAAGAGGAAAAATTAAAGTTCAAAACTTGCAGGGAAATTGCAACGAAAAACAGTGGGAGATTTCTCTGAAGTGAGCCTTAGAGCAAGCTAAAATCCAACTTCAAGTCTGATCATCATATTAATACAACTGGGTGACGATTCATCTCCCATCCTCCATCATGTTGCAAGAAGCAGAGGCTTCTGCCTCATAGAACAATGAACAATGAATATGGGTGCTGGGATGAAGTGATAGAACTCCGTTCCTGTTGCTAGAAATTCTAAAATTCCAACCCCCTGTTATTCCATTTCCTTATCAACAGAAACTGAATACAATGAAATATCACTCCTGTGACTGTTAATCTATGTCATAGCAAAGTTAAGTTAAAATACAGTAAGGTTTCTACATATAAACTGGTTCCATTTTGAGAGCATGTTCATAGTCTAATTTTTTTCATAAATTCCACAAAATTAGCCTAGATATGGAAATAACACAATTGACTACATAGTACTGTACTATAATAGGTTTATAATACTTTTCACCCAAATAATACATAAAAAATAAATAAGCAAATAATAAAGAAAACATTTTTAACCTTATAGTACAGTACATTGAAAGATACAGTAGCACAGTACAACAACTGGCATACAGGGGCACATTTGCAGCCTTGAAAGCTTGCAACTTGAAGGTTCGTATGAAGGGGACTTACAGTAGGGAGATTATTCCAGATTGTCTAGAGGTGGATCCAGTATAGTCACAAAAACCCTTAAAAAACAAAGCTGATTCCCTAGATGGAGGGATAAAGGTAGGCTGGAGAGATGCTAAGAGTGAGGAAGACTTTACACAATTTTCTTGATTTGAAGATGGAGAAGGAAAAGGAATGTGAGCAGTCTCTATACTGTGAATTGACAGTTGGCCCTAGTGGTAAAGAATATATATGCCTGCCAATGCAGAATACAGAAGCGATGTGGGTTTGATCCCTGGGTCAGGAAGATCCCCCAGAGAAGGGAATGGCAACCCATTCCAGTATTTTTGCCTGGAGAATCCCGTAGACAGAGGAGCCTGGCAGGCTACTGTCCATAGGGTCACAAAGAGTCAGATGCGACTGAAGCAACTAAGCATGCACACAAGGAAACAGAAGCCTTGACCCAGATCCAAAAACAAGCCTCTGATCGAGATCCACAAAGAAATCAACCCTGTAACAACCCGAGTGACCCTTGAAGCAGATTCCTCCCCTGAGCCAGCAGATAAAGATCCAGCTCAGATGATTTTTATCTCAGCCTTTTGAGACCCTGAGCAGAAAATACAGCCAAGCCCATCTAAACATCTGGCCTTCAGACTATTAGGTAATAAATGGATATTGTTTTAGGCCATTTCCTTTGTGGTAATCTGTTACACAGCAAAAGAAAAGTAATGCAACCCAAAGGCCCCTAGTCACATTCTTTCCCTACTTCCTGGAGACAGACCAGTGTAAAGAGATAACAGAAAATATGGTAAGGTAATTGGGAATACTAAATATAAGATGAGAATGTGATCAAGAAATATCAAATATATTTGACAAGTCAGTAAGAAAGAATGGCATCTAGACTGAAAATCAACAATAAGAACAGATGAGAAAAGAGAGGAGACAAAAGGAGACTCAAAAATAAATATAAGTTTTAAAAATACTCAAAAGTACAAAAAAGACAGAGCAACACAGAAGAGCTTGCTTTAGAAAATACAAATTACAAATCCTGGTGATGAAAATATATGATTATTGAAGTATTAATGAAATAAACTCAAATGTTGGACTAAACAGTTGAATGTGTACATTTGATAACAAATTAGTGAACTGAAAGATAGGGCCAAAGAATTCGCCTAAAATACTGTGAAAGGGGAAAAAAGCATGGAAAATAAAAGTTAAGGGATACCGAAGAAAGCTTCAGAAGTTCCAAGAGAGGAAATAGAGAATGACAGGCAAGGAAGTAGAGAAATAAATTATGAAATAAAATTTCTTAGACTAAACAAATGCATCATATTTTCTACCATGGAAACCACCACTTAGTTTCATTTAAAAAATAAGCTAAATAAAATGAAAATTTAAGTTAAATGTACATACAACCACTAAGGAAATTTTTCAAATTAATAAAATGATGAAAAAATACAAAAAGCTTTCATGGCCTACAAATTAAGATTAGAATCAGACTTAATACCTTAATACTAACTGCAAGAGAATACTGAATGGGTCAGTGTCTTTAATATTATGCATGAAATTGACTTTGAACCTAGAATTATTCTTTACATATTTAAGCAATTATTCTAATAATGATACTAAAAAATATGTTTGGATCTATAGTGTCTCGAACTTTGCACTACAAGATATTCTGTGATGGAGCAGAACTGAGACTGTCCACAGGAAGCTCCTGGTAACAAATCTCTCAGAAATAGTTTCTTCAACAAATTAGTCTCTCTCTGTGTATAGAGATATCTATGCTCTGCCTTCCTTCCTTTTCTTTCTCTCTTCTCTCCCCTTCTCTTCTCTCCTCTCCTTCCCTGTTACCACCCCTTCCCAAAACTTCTTCTCTTATAGAAACGAAATCTGGAAATACTTCTAGCTTCCCAACATGTTCTCCTTGGGTTATGACTCCAATCTTCCTTTATGTTCTCAAGGTGCCTGACAAAAGCCTAGGACAAAAAATGTACACACAAAAGCTGAATCGAAATGTACAGTGTTCCCAGGGCCCTCCAAGTTGCTTCTGTATTTTTTTTTCTCCCTGCTGTGTCTATCGTAACATCAGTGGACACTGAGACATTGCCAGTCCAAATACAAGTGGGGTTCTCTTGGTGAGGAATGTAGAGGATGGCTATTGGGTGCCCCAAACTAGTAGTAAACTTGTTTTGAATGCTGATGATTTTCAAGGTTAAAAAAAGCAAGGAACCCACAAGTCTATGCTTTTTCTGTCTAGAGTACATTCCACTCCACAAGGGCTGTCAGGACCACTGATTTGGGGAAGGTCTGCATGAGGCATAAAGAAGAAAATGGGGTGCTGCATCTATAAGCTTACATTCTTTTTTTTTTTTTTTTCTCACTTCAAGGAAAATTGCTTTATTCTGCTTCTTCCAAAGGGGCAGCTCTCCAGGCTCCAGGACTGGGAGCTTCGTTGCACCCTCAGGATGGGGCAGACCAAGAAGATGTGGCGCGGCTACTCTTCATTCAAGCCCTTGGCTCCGATGTCACGGCTCTTGGCCCGCAGCTTGTTGACCTGGGACTCAGCGATGTCCGCCCGTTCCTCAGCCTCATCCAGCTCGTGCTGCACCTTGCGGAACTTGGACAGGTTGGTGTTGGCCTGTTCCTCCGCCTCCTCAGCCTGGCGCTTGTAGGCCTTGACTTTCAGCTGCAGCTTGTCCACCAGGTCCTGCAACCGCAGCAGGTTCTTCCTGTCTTCCTCTGTCTGGTAGGTGAGCTCCTTGATGCGCCGCTCGCTCTTCCTCATGCCCTTGACCGACTCTGCATTGCGCTTCTGCTCAGCCTATAAGCTTACATTCTTACCGCATCTGTGTTCATTCCACTGCCTGTTTGCTGCTTCCAGGTAAAACAAAGTGAAAACAACCCTTAACTCTCCCAGTCATTCTTCTCCTTCAGCCTTACACTGAAACTCTATTTTCTACCTTAGCTTTTCCTCTCTGAATGAGTTGCCTAAGAATGAACTCCAATGTAAAATAAAGATAATGGAAACAAGAGGAATTATAACAAAAACAAAACAAAAAACAAAACCTAGTGAAACAGACCTAGGTCTAACTACATAGTCATTATTTAAAATCTAATGTACAAAATAAAAACAAACAAACAAAAAAACACCTGGAACTGAAATCATGAACTAGAATGATACACAGCAAATTTATGACATATAGTTGCTTCTGGAGATGAAAGTAGAGAAATTGGATTTAGAAAGAGAACAAGTGGGAATTCAACATTACACATAAGATGTTATTTCATACACACTCAACTATAACTGCACACTCTAAGCAAAATAAATTATTAACATTTGTACATTCTCATTTCATAAAGATTGTCATCACAATTTCTATGCATTTTGAAGTTTTACAATATTTAAATAGCAATGAAAAGTGTGAAGCCTTGTGGACTAAGAATGTTGCTTGCCATATCAGTAAATAAATGATGCTGAGGACATCATGCCTGAAGCCACTGCAGCAGATCCTGACTATGTACCCTGAGGGGATTTAGGATGGAGAAAAGGGGTGTACTGACCCTAAATAGTTAAGGTTGAGTCCAGACTCTGACATCTTCCCATACATGGAAAAGCACTAAATTAACTTGAGATGTCCAGTCTCCTTTAATTAACAGTAATATTTTAATGTTTCAACTACTTGCTTTTTGTTGCAAGACTCCCATATATCCTGGTTCTTCACTTATTTCTTTGGATCAGTGCCTCAGAGCTGAGAGGCTGCCTCCCAGGCTTGAGTTCTCAGAAATATCTCCGAATAAAGCATAATTCTCAGCTTTTAAGTTGTGCCTGTTTTTTTCAGTTGATAGCCTCATAAGTAATTTAAAATGCAAAATAAACATTATGATTCTCGTTCTTTTTCCCTATCATGTCAGCAGAAGACGCAAATAGTTATTCAGAATGTTAGAGTCATGTACGTCGCTGGTACATTTGATACTTTTTTAGAGGTTGATACAGAAATGTTTATCCAAAGATTTAGTAATGCACAAACATTTTAATCTAGAAAATCCTACTTCTGGGAATTTGTCCTAGGAAAATAACATGAAAGGTGTGTAAATGGACAAATATAAAATTGTTTATCAAAATATACTAGCAAAAGTAAAAAAAAAAAAGGAAACAAATGGACAAAAAAGAGAAAAGCATTTAACCATGGTTTATGGACTCAGTAAAATATAATATAATCTTTAACTATGAAGTGGTAAAAGTTTATGTTCTCATTGAAACCCTTATCCAAAAAAGATACACAAAATGTTAATGGAAATTATCTCCAGATGGTGAAATTACAAAAGCATTAATTTATCATTTTAGGAGTTTTTTTCTGCTTCCTAAATTCCCCAAAATTAATATGCACTACTTTAGTAGGGCAAAAAATTATTTTTTAGCAAAAATTAGCTAATTAGAATTAAACTCAGTTTGAAATAATGTATTTCAATAAGTTACTTGTGTAAAAGTTCACTGCCTAGAAAAACTAATTTGAATGCCAAGCTTTTACTTAAATGATTCTATTTTTAAATTTCCTGACCACTTGTACAAATTTTGTTTATTATAATTTTTTTTGTTTGGTGCCATAAAATAGCTTTGATTTAATATACTTTATTAGCTCTCTTATTAATATATCATAAAAAAGTATAATTGTATACTATTTTTAAATAGAAATATAATCCATCAAATTCAAGACCCTGTCCACTCCATTATTAAAACCCATGAGGCCCAAATTAAACAAAGCTCACATGCATCAGTTATTCATTCTTCTTCCTAGCATGTAACTGAGAAGTATTTGCCAGTAGGTATTAAATTCTACTTCTTAAGAATTCCAGCGAGCTCCATAAATGTGTGAAAATTCCCTATATGTATATTTTAAATGCAAATTTCTGTGACAATTTTATGAACAGCTGTAGAGTTCAAAAAAAGTGCATTTCCTAATTCATACTATCTATATGCAAAGTCATGGAAAATATCAGATGTGATATGCTATAGCTTGTTTCAGTAGAATATAACCATTTATATTTATAGTACACAGCACCCCTCTTTCCCAAGCACTTCCTAAACTCAAAGAGAAAAGTTAGTTTGCCTGCTGTTACAAAGAACCATCTTCAGGATGAAATAATGGCATCCTCTCAAATATGAAGCAATAAGCTGCTTCAAATTGAAGGAAAGAAATTATGACTGATCAACCTCAAGAATTTTTAAAGGCTGAAATGAGCTTAAATTTCACTGAGAAACCAAAGGCAGTGTAATTAAATGAGTATCACATTGGAAATCAGAACCATGTGCATGTCCCAGTTCTGAAAGTAGGAAGCCATGTGGCCATGAGCAACCACTCAATTTTCTGAGGTCTCTCCAAAAAGAGTAAAGGGAAGAACCTAAAAAGTCTCTAAAATCCTATCCAGTTCTGCATTACTCTTAGTAAACAAAACTATTCCAGCATCTAAACTGTCCTTCATCCCAGATATGAGCACATCCTGATCCCAAGGGATCAAAATAAGTAGAAGGACAGCAATGGAGAGGGAATAATGTTACTTTTCTCTTTCAAGTCAGTGGAGCAACAGGGGAGGAACACACACACACACACACACACACACACACACACGTGAAAGATAAAAGACTCATTACTGTAAAGAAACATGTGTTAACCATACACATTCTAGATCTTGTATTAGACATTTTGAAGAGAGAAAAGTGAGAGTGTCTCAGTAGTGCCCAACCCTTTGCAGCCTCATGGACTGTAGCTCACCGGACTCCTCTGTCCACGGACTTCTCCGGGTAAAAATCCTGGAGTGGGCTGCCGTGCCCTCCTCCAGGGGATCTTCCTGACCCAGGGATCGAACCTGGGTCTCCTGCATATTGGGTCTCAAGCAGATTGTTTACTGTCTGAGCCATCTTAGATACTTTACATTTAATTTAAAAATATTTAACAAAGAAATACTTACCGAAAATATTTGCTGATTGGATGCTGTGCTGGGTGCTGTAAATCACTGCAAGTTTCTTCTGAAGTAGGACCTGCTACCAGATGCAGTGTCACCGGGGTATCTGGACAGCATGGACCCTGACTGACATTACTGAACTTGCCATGACCTGGTGTCTTGCCCTTGCTCAGAGCTTTCCTGTTAGGACTCTGGGAATGAGACCGAAGACACACAAGCTCACACTTTAGAAAGTAGACAGTGTAAATCAGGTTGATAGGGTGATGTAAATATCCCCAAACTTTCTTGTTTCATGGTGCCCTCAGCAATTGCTTCTTGGAAACTCTGGTACAAAAATACACTTAACAGTTGTATGTATTAACTAAGATCCAAGCAACTTAATAAGTATTTTTGTCTTAGTAACAGATGTTTGAAAAATATTATACACAAATTGAAAGAGAAACCCATACACATTAAGTTTGTTGTTGTTGTTGTTCAGTTGCTAAATCTTGTCTGACTCTTTGTGACCCCATGAACTGCAGCACAGCCAGCTTTTCTGTCCTTCACTATCTCCCAGAGTTTGCTCAAAGTCATATCCATTGAATCAGTGATTCTAACTCTGCTGCCCCCTTCTCCTTTCGCCTTCCATCATTCCCAGCATCAAACTTTTTTCCAATTAGTCAGCTCTTTGCATAAATTAAAAGAATCTAATATTTTTATTTCATTCTTATAGAATGAAGTGACGTTGCTCAGTCATGCCTGACTCTTTGCAACCCCATGGACTGTAGCCTACCAGGCTCCTCCATCCATGGGATTTTGCTGGCAAGAGTACTGGAGTGGGTTACCATTTCCTTCTCCAGGGGATCTTCCTGACCCAGGGATCAAACCCACACCTCTCGCACTGCAAGCAGACGCTTTCTCCTCTCAGCCACCAGGTAGCCTATAATCATAGTTACAATCATAGCTACTTACTGACAGGGAAAGTGCACCTACCAGGCATTGCACTTTTCTAACCTTGGGATCAGATTGGACATTAGCACTTTCATTTCCATCCCATATTGATTTTCACACAAGGCTTGCCTTTTGTTGTTGAAACCACAAAAATAAGCAAGCAGATTCACAAAGACTGGACACCATTGAAAGAAATGTAGCACAATCTAATATTGAAATTAGTAAGTACTTCAACACTGTAGTTTCTGTGCAGTTTGACATATAGCAAGTATTGTTGTATTTCAATAGAGCATTAAAATACTATGTATTGCCCTGGGAATTTTTAAGGGACCTGGGATATTTCAGTGTACATTTTGGGAACTTCTATTTTAGTGGGGTTTTATTGCTAACAGTGTTTAATATATAATACCACTGGCCCCTCTGGAGTTATCAAATTCTCTTTTGCACCTCAGTAACCTTATCCACTCCAGCCTACACTGATAGACTGAATTCACCTATCTTATAAGTGCAAAGACTGTATGACTTAAGAAAAGAAGCCACTGGTCAGAGTGCACAAATTCTCAGATAGAGGAGAGCAAAAGTTTTCTGTTAATCAGAAACTGAACGAAATTAAACCAGGGAAGAGAAGAAAGAAGGAAAGAGACGTTACAGACAGAATAGGAATAGATAAGGAAAACTTGACCCTGGGTTAAGATGAGGGGATGAGGGTCTTCTAGCCCCTAGCATCCTCTTCATCACCGAGGAAGAAACATACCCATACCAACGAAAAGCTTGTTCAGGGATTGAATAGTGTAATTAAAATAAAAAAAAGTTTCACCACCTAACCAACTTGGGACTCTACAGAATAACCAGAGATTGCTCTCTGAACCAGGAGAGCAGTGAAGAGAACACCTTGATTGCATTCATTCCTTAATTATGAGAAATGGGATA